GTGGTTGTTGTTGTGGTGGTGGTTGTTGTTGTGGTTGTTGTTGTTGTTGTTGTGGTTGTTGTTGTGGTTGTGGTTGTTGTTGTGGTTGTTGGCGTCGTTGTTGTTGTTGTTGATGATGATAGTGTTGGTAGTGTTGGTAGTGTTGGTAGTGTTAGTAGTGTTAGTAGTGTTGGTAGTTGGTTGTTGGTTGCGTGGTGGTTGATGTTGTTGGTTGTGTTGCTGCTGCTGCTGTTGTTGGCGTCGTTGTTGTTGTTGTTGGCAGCGGCTGTGTAGTTGTTGCTGCTGCTGCTGTTGCTGCTGCTGCTGCTGCTGCTGCTGCTGCTGTTGCTGCCGTTGTTGTGGTGGTGCTTGTGGTTGTGGTTGTGGTGGTTGTTGTTGTTGTTGCTGCGTTGGTTGTTGTTTTTGTTGTTGTTGGTGGTGGTTTTGGTGGTTTTGGTGGTTTTGGTGGTGGTGGTGGTGGTGGTGGTGGTGGTGGTGGTGGTGGCGGCGGCGGCGGTGGTGGTGGTGGTGTTTGTTGTTGTTATTTGTTGAAGTTTGTTGGCGGTTGTTATTGTTTTCCACTGTCGTTTGCTGTTGTGTGTTGTTGTTTGTTGTGTGTTTGGTTTATGTGATTTTCCGTTTGTTTCGTGTTGTTTGCTGTCTGTTGTGTGTTGTGTGGTGCGTGTTTGTGTCTGTGTGTTGTTTGGTGGTTGGTGGTTGGTTTTTCTTGTTTGAAGTTTGTCGTTTGTTGTTTGGTGTTTGGTTGTTGGTGCCTGGTGGTAGAGATTGTTGTTTGGTGTTTGTTGTTGTTGGTGGTGTTGTTGTTGTTGATGGTGGTGGTTGTGTGTTGTTGTCATGCTGCTGTCGTCGTTAGCGTCAGCATGTTTTGTCGTTGTTGTTTTTGCTACTGTCTTGCGTTAGTGATATTGGGATTCTGTTGTTTGGTTATGTTTATGCTTATTGTTATTGTTGTCATGAAAAACAGTATTAGTGAGAATTTTACTCTTCTCCTCGCTTTATTATTTGTGGCGTCATTATTGTTACTTTGACTGTGTTCATTTGATTGTTCGTTTTCTTTATTTGTGCTTAGTCGTGTTCTTGTTCATTATTACAGCTTAGAATCCTTAGAATATTGCTCGTATTTTTGTTTATCATCATTGATTTTTTGCTGCTGCTGTGTTTATTTCTGTTCTTGTTGTCTTTCTTGAACGTTGTTTTATTATTGTACCTACCGTTTTGATTATTGCGGTTACTAATAGTATCTTCTTATCATTGCATTATTGCTGGCATCATCCTTGCGATTGTTGTGGCTAGTGTCAAGTGCTCTGCTTATTGTAACTATCGTCTGTGATTCTCAGGATCTGATGAAGCAGCACCTTCAGTCTGGAATCACTGGGGGAAGCACCTCCACTCAGGTTTTCGCGGTGGAATCATGCCACTTGAATTGCTGCGATATGCTGCGATCATTTATGTTACGGACACATTTCTCGACATCAAGGTCTCAACTGCTGAACATATTACATACAACCGTACAATGGTTGCCATAAGCTTGGAATTTCCCCGTCTGCCCTAGACGCAGGCTCGAGGGATTACCAGCGCTAGTCATCCTTATTCCAGATTCCATCTTTCTGGGGAGCTGGCCCTGATGAACCTGAAATTTGAAAAGCGCATCCACTTTGAGGCATGCGCTGCGCAAGAAGCCCGTCCTGCACCGGTGCCGGCAGAATCTTCCAAACCACCACCGCCGCGCTGCCCGGAGCAGGAGGCAAGTGGAGATCAGAGCCCAGCCTCCCAAATACGCATTGTGATCTCAGGGCGGAGCCGTAGGATATCAGGGTCGAGGTTTCTGACTGATGTCCGTGGAGTCTGGGAAGCAACAGTTTGCATCGATGCAGGGCTCTAGGGTTCCCATCATGCTGACTGCGCTACAGTATACCCCAAAACCCTCTGGGAAGTTCTCTAAATTAAGGTCCCTTTTTAGGTCCAAATATAGTACGGCACCATTACAAAAAACGGACCCTAAAAGGGACCCTAATTTAGAGAACTACCCCTATAGTCGAAGAATTCAGGCCCTTGTAATGAAACCTGTGGTTACAGTTTGTGTGTTCATGGCTTGATGCGGACGACATCGGCTGCTTGAGGCCCCACAAAGCCGGAAAAGCCTCAAACCGCTTATAAGACCCTCGATACCCAAAAGTCTAAAACTCTAGACATTCAAGCCCAAAACCTAAACCCTAAGCTCGGACCTCCTTACCATGCCTGCCTTGTGCGAGTGTGTGAGTCGAAACCCTAAGACCCTCAAGATAAGCCGTAAGTCCTAAAAGCCTCCGAGCTGCGGGTGCTTTGTGCGCAGGGCTTTGGGCTGCAGGGCTTCGCGGTGTTGAGGGTTTTGGAGCTATTTTAGCTGTGTGGATCTGCCGGCCTTAAGTTGTAGATGCTTTCCTTAGCTGTCGCTGTAAGAGCCGGAGACGTAGAATGTAGAGACAGCAACACGCCAAAACCACGAGCCCCTAAACCCTAAACCCTAAAACGACAGAACCACAAGCTTGGTAGGAAGCTAAGGAAGGACCCCGGACAGTGCCCTCGAACTTTAACCCTAAACCCCCTAATAAAAGGGCCGAAGTAATTACCAATATTATTTTGGTTGGTTTAGAGTTTAGGGTTTAGGGTTTAGGGTTTAGAAGTTACCAATATTATTTTGGGGTTCCTTATTATAATTATAGTATAATGGGCCCCCCCTGAAACCCCCAACAAACGATGGATGCCGCAACACCCTAAGGCCTGGGTTGCCCGAGGAGCATTAAACCGAACTTCATGTGGTTTAGAGTTTAGGGTTTAGGGGCTTATGGTTTAGGGTTTAGGGGCTTATGGTTTAGGGTTAACTTCATGTGAACCCCACTTGCAGGAAATGAGCACCACGAAGCCCGAAAGCCACTTGGAAGTTTTGCCGGATAGATGTGGTCAGGGCCACTATTGAAGACAGTGAGGTTAGGGCTTAGCGCTTGGACTCTAGGATTGTCAGGATAAAGGAGAATAAATTAATAATAAGCCATTCTACAAAACATTACGAGTCACAGCACTGCCATTGTTGATGGTATTGCCGTTAGTGTTTTTTTGCGCAGCTCTGCCTGCCGGCTACACGTTTTCAGTATTGCTGTTGAGGATAGAAGCTTCGGGTATCAGTTTCGTGTGTACCTGTACCGCTCAGGTTGCACCTGTAAAATCCTGAAACCCAATCCCGAGACCCTAAAACCTAGGTTCGAGAAACTTAGGAAGGTGATTTTCACAAAGGGGCCTTTGTGAGTAGAACACTGTTAGGGTATGTTCTACTAGCCGTTTATCAATGGCCAAACGGGGATACCAACACTTAGTCCGACCCGTGGAAGAACGCGACAGGTGAATGTCTGGTGCTTTCGCTGGTTAACTGCTGCCGAGGTGATGAGGAATCTTTGAGAGATATCCTCTTAGCTTGGGTGAGCCATGCTTAGCTCTGAGTCGACATTCGCATTGAAGCTGATCTGCTCTCAGTGCTGATGCAATCGCCCTGGGTGCATAGAGCTAACGAAGCCTTTTGCGATGGCCACAGGATGCATCATCGCACAAACTTTTGTGCTCTCAGCTGAACCCTGCATTGCGGGCTTGTCCTAGCTAGGTGGTAGGCAAGAAAACATACATTTTCGTGGGACGACTGGGCCTCATAGAAAATGAGCTCAAAAGACATGTAACACAGCCCGCAACCCGGAACCCTAAGCTAAGAGTGTAAACCCTAAGCCCTCAGCTCAGCCAAGGCGCCGGTGATGCGGCCAAGGCCCTTTGGGTGCGTGCTATGGATGGCACGTGCCGCGGCTGCACCTGTGCTTCAACTGTCCTTGCAAACAGGCCCCTAAGAAAGGTTTGAGACTCCACACCCTAGACAGTCAGGTTAGTCTTATAACATGCTATCATGCTATAATCGCGATAATAGTAGCAAAAAGGGAATTCTAGCATGCTAGCAATATCGTACTTCATGTGCAATCATCTAAAGTAGCTTCGCCTCGTTATTCGCCTCGGGCCTCGGGCGGAAGGAACGGGATATTATCACAAATATGTACGGCGCCACCGCCCTTCAGGGGTGCTTCACGCGCCCCACGCTCAGCTCAGAACTCCATGGTACCACAGGGCTCGAGGAACAAGATAAAGGTCTGAATTATCAGCAGTAGCATTCCTTCATCATGCGTTTCTGGTTTTGCCACACGAAAACCCTAGTTAGAAGGCTCACCAAACCCTCACGAAACCTCTTGCGACCCTTCCAACACCCTATGCAAATTGTCAAGGGCTCGTAAAATCAAACCAGAAGCCCTGTATGAGCCCTCTAACCCATAAGCCCCTAAACCCTAAAACCCCTGAGCTCGCACCCCCCAAACCCTAAACCCTAAACCCTAAACCCTATAAGCGCTAACGCCTAGGCGCCATGGTCCCTTCAACGCCGCCGCCCTGAGCTCTGCCAGAAAGTTGAAGCACCTCTGCCCAAACGGTGGCTGTTGTAAACAGAGTATAGGGCTTTAAGGGTTTAGGGCTTAGGGGGATTAGGG